TGAATACTAAGAGCAGCCATTGCGCCCTTTTTCCTGCTCTGTTTTGGAGAAGTATCGCGTAATTCGTTGTCAGAAGTACGTGCACGCATACGTATCTGAACAGCAGCAGACCTGAGTGACGGAAGGCAAACTAAGTTAAAATGAAATGGAAGTGTAGATGTCACCCGAGCAGATGCAGACTTTGTCTTTCGCTGTTTGTCGCTGAATTTTCGATTCCGTTTCATTAGTTTGTAATTGTAGGACGAAGTAGGAGTATGTATAAGGAAAGTTCGTACTACAAGATATTTCGTCAGGGTTCAGAATTTGATAAGGCGAAAGGGCGTGGTCAAGAGTCATGGCACAGTGTCCGCCTAGAGATTTTAAGCGCCATGTCACCAAACTAAATACAGTTTCAACGTGCAAATTTTTCAAAACCTTTTATATCTGTACATTTAGTCTACACAGAGACTGACGCTGCATATGTCGAAACATCATACCTTTTATCGAAGTATGCAGTATTTGTGTATGGTGAAGGGTGTATGGCGTATGGTCATCGACTGAGGACAATTTTCCGCGATTCTGGAAGCGCAGGCTTAGTAATTTAGGGAGAACATAGGAAAATTATAGCACAACGTTGAATAGCGCGTAATATAACTTTTTCCAAACACGCACAAAACACGTACAAAATATTCAGAAGAATAAAAAATTTTCACAAACTCAGCTGTACAGGGACTTCTGTCGTACTGCATGCGTTTTCGTAGCCCGACGAGGGAGAATACTTACGAAACGCATTGTCCCCTGGGCATGGTCGGCCAAGAATAACACTTGAACAACATTAACTTTATAAGAAGTAACAAATATTAGGGGGCCTGCGAAACTGATATGAAGCTACCTGTACGAATAGGTATTGCCCGTGTGTAGGCAATAATTTGAACTCTCGAACATACTCACTGGCCTTCGATGCTGCTCAGCAATAACAACATGACGCTGCCCTTTTAAACTCATCTTTTTCACCTTCCACTAGTTTCGTACTTCGTTGCTTCGAATTCGAATTCCGAAAGTTAAGCTGCACAACGACAAATGCATTTGAGCGGAGCAGTCCTCGTTATTCCACTTCATTCTATATCGTTTAGCCGTCACTGTCGTTCACTACTATCGCCCACTCGGATGATTGGCCCTGGTCTTTCCGACTTTTATTTGCCCCTAGCTGTTATGGCGGCAACGCTGTCAAGAAACTAGTCTTCCGAGGATGAACGAGACGAAACGTCAAAACGAGCGCGACCCAGGGACTGGAAAAGCGGCCACGCAAAAACGCCGGAACGAAATGATGGTAGAGTACGCAGACGACAGAATGGACCATGTCTCCTTAATAGAGCAGATCCCTGGCTGAACAGGCGGTGTCGTTTCATGCCCGTTCGTGCGCGATTCATCTTCATTTGGCTGCAGCAGCGGCGGCTGCATGAGCCTTCGGCTCGAGCTTCAACCGACGGCCCGCAACTGCAGCTGGCCAGATCGACCGCTCTGCGGCCGTGGACCGAGCAACTGATTTTCTGCCTTTCGCAACCCATCTATCCTAGACTAACCGCTACCCACAGTAAGAACAACAGCAACAGCATTGCTGTTGTTGCAAAGGACTACAAATGTTTCCAAATCCCCATTATACTCGTTGCGTAGTTCCATCGAAAGTTTTGAGAGCCATATATGACGTTATTCGCTTAATTGAATGATGATACACTTGAGTAATGTGCACGACCTGCAGTTCGCCAGAGCGGCAAGCCGACATGTCCTTCCTCCACCGTACGTTGCAGCACAGAGGATATTTAATTTTGTTACTTGTAGTAACTATGTTCAATTTAATACTGATCTGGGTTACATTATAGTAGAGGCTAGACATGGTAGCCTATCTAACCATTCCATCTGTGCGCGTTCAGCTCTATCGTATCGCACAACCACGACTGGCTCTGCCATTTCGTAAAGACAAGGGCAATCATCGCACTGCATACAATGATTAGGCTTCGTTTGCCTTCACAAAAACGAACCCAAAGGCAGAGTGTTGTAGATGGATAAATATATCATGCTTATGGCGCGAGTAAGAATGATTACGGTAATAACGTTGTTTGTATGGTTGCAAATGATGAAAATTATGATATTAGCGTGTTGCAGGGTGAACTAGGGTTTAGGGTTCGTGCTTTGGAACTCGCGTATCTTATTCCGTTTCACTGCGAACAGCGGGTGAAGCGCTTTTTTATCACTGTCTACTTGCCTATCTGTACGGCTGTTCCCTCTTAATCCCACCTTTTTCAGATTGCTTTGGTTCCAGTACCTGCATGCAGAGTGTTTGGCGATGCCCCGACTACTATAATTTGACAGACGGTATTATCGTTACACGCCGACAACTCAACGGAAAGGCCAAAGCTAGCAGAGTAGTCCTTATTTAGGAGTCGGCAGGCTAGGAAGATACTGGAGCTGAATAAAATTTACATGGATAAGTCCTTTCGAGTGTATGCTGTTATATCAGGCCGTCTTTATTTTGCTGCATCTAGAACGACCATATGGATGTATTATATGCGCATAAGTCTCAGTATACAGTCATTTAGGAGCATGCTAGTGCCAGTTTGCTAGCCACTTTGTTTAGTTGCTTTAATGATTTTGCTTCTAAAATATACACACACATATATATGTATGTATATAGCTGCTAGATGAAAAAATGTGTATTTAAACATATTTTAAATGACTATAAAGCCGTTGCTTATCGTGGTTCGAGGCGAACCTTAGTGAATTACCACAATTCACTGTTTTAATTTAATCTTGCATTAATGTACTATTTTAGTACTGTTTCAACGTAAGCACTAACATACTCTATACATGCTTGTTGCTAAGTGTTTCTGTCAGCGTGCAGTTTACGTTGTCGGTGGACTTTTATTGCACGCTACTTATAACGACCAGCCAGAAAAACGTCAGTCCGTCCGCTGCGTATGCCTGTGTACCGACGTACGGGTTTTTTTAAGGTTAATCTATTCTCACAGTAGAGGCCCTGACGTCGCTTTGAATCGTATGCTCCCTCTTGGTCTCTACAGGAAGCAGACAAATGGATACAAGCGAAAAGAGTTCACGTCGCAGTAGTCAATGCTGCTTATTGTATTGTTATCATCATCATCATCAGCTTAACTCCTGTTTTTACTACTATAAAAGTAAAGAATACCTGGTGCCTTATTCTGAACCATGACCGCCTGTACCTTGCCTAAACAATGGAACATGCTTGTTTCAAACGGTCGGTGTTTCTCCATCAGAGTACATCGTTTTCTGAACTTTTCGTTACGCGAAAATTAGTTTTGAACAAACGCTGAATAGTTATTTAAAGCTAATAGAGCACCTATAGTTACTTTTCAGCAATCCGTCTTTTGTTCTACGGAAAATAACTATGTGCTGCAGAAACTTATGAGTTCCAAGAGTTCTTATTTTATCAACTCGTTTTTATCAGGAGTGCAATCATTTTCTTTCAGTGGGCTTCTAAGTTCTCCACTCAATTTTTCAATAATACAAACAAAGTTATAAATCAATCATGCCATTAATCAGTAGGGGTCCTGTGCGCTAAGGCTAAACCTAGAGGACAAGTTATGCCGCGTAAGTCTCCTAATATACTAAACAGAGGAACGAGTCAATTCATACATGCTAACGATAAACACACCGTCTTCGCTCTTCGTTCTTACATGTAAAATTTTAATCTTCAAGTATGAGGCGGAAAGCATTGCACGTAATAGCACTTTAGTAATTTGAGGGCGTTAGCAATAGCGGCTCGGAGCCTCGCTTGTACGCAGGCCCTTCCACTTAGTCTCAACGAACCTGCTTCTATTATTATGCAGGCCTAATTTTCGGTCGATGGAAGGGGAAAAGTATAAAAGGGCTGGCTTGGGAAAAGGGCTTTTGTGCTACTATACATGTCACCGCATGAAAGATGAACGGTTAGAACGAGGACACGCCAGGCCCTTGGAGAGAAATAGACAACGTGCATGGACGGCATACAATTTGCAAGGCTTTTAAAGTGTAGTATGTGTGGTACGAAGTGCACGAGAACGTGTGTTCAGACAGTGAACGCACCTTTTTTTTTTTATTCACGCACTTATCCACAACGATATCTAATGCCAATATAAATACCATTTGATCAGGGTAACGAGCGTTTAAATGAAGTTCAGCTTTATGCAATAACTGGCAGGCTATAGTTGTGTGACAATTCCTTGAATAAAAACAGTATCCGACTCGATCTATTATATTACATAGTATTCTTAGGCCCTTCACCCTTATACATTAAAAACAGCTGATCGAGACGTCCAGCGATGCTTAAGGTAAGACAAATTCAATAATTCGATCTGTGAGTCGAAGTTATAACAATGAATGCAGAAGGAAAAGTAACCATGCCGCGTACTCCATTTTTTTCAGGTGTATGACTATCAATAGACATCATTTCTGACCATTTCCAGGACATATGAGGCTTAATTTATCCAGCTGTATTCCCAAGCACTAATAAAAGACTTCATTCTGTACGTTAACAATATAGTAATCGAGCTTAACGCTGCCTCGTCAGAAACTATAAGGTCATTAAATTTAAATACGTACATTTACTGTTGGCTTGGCAGAAGCGACTTCGTATAGAAACTACTTCTTTGTAACAGCACAATGTGTAACGCGTTTGCCTATTGGATACGGAGAATCATAGTGGCATAGGTTCGAACGTTCTGGCACAGACATGCTTTGTTTCGTGCTGGGATGGAGCCTAACAGGATAAGTTTCAGACGCAAGACACGAAAAACTTCACTTCGAGGTAACTTCAGGGTTTATTTATAATACGTTGCATATTTTCACCACTGACAATGATGCTAATCGTATACGTATGCTAAAATGTATTAAATGATGTATTTTCTCGTAAACAATATGAACTCAGTTGCAGTAGTAAATTTCATGTAGATTGGTTTCATTAGTAGATTCTCTTATGTGTAATAGAAATGAGTGGTCACGGTACTTACGTATTTAACAGAGTAATACAAAATAAACGAAAACAGGATGTCGATGCAACCCTCGATGATAATGGAGTACGCCACCTTGAGGGGATCTGAAATGCAACATTTAAGAAAATGAAGAAGCATCACATTGGAAAAGAAACAGACTGTGTCCATAATGGCAGTCCCGTAAAAAGAATCACGTAAAGTAATTTAATGAATTAAATAGCATAAATGAGATTTATCACCAATCAATGTATCTTTTTCTTTAATACATTATTATATTACACGATATAGAGAGAAACTGAATAATGGGAATAATCATTTTAGACTAGATTTATGAAGCTATTCGTGCTGACCAAATCGAATGGTCAAGTTCACGATGTTCACGCAATTTTCTTATTGGAATAAGACAAAACTGTCACCGAGAGTGTGCTGTCATCCAGCCACAAATGCAATATATGAACTGCGAGATCAACGCATTTATTATGATAAAGAGAAGAATTACTGAAAATGTACTATTTTTGTCTTTACCGTCAAAAGTCATTGTTAACGGCATAGATTTTGATTTATAACACAAGCTCAATCATAGAATCATTTATTGAAATGGTCCACATTAGAAAACTCACTATTGGTATAGATCATATTAGTTATATTGCTACGGCCTAAAGCCTAGTAATGCCCATTACTATCGCTATTTAAGGACAACATATTGCTCAACTATTTAAGTAATATGTAAATCAGATTTGTGCAGGCACTCGTGCGATGTCACCGCAATCGGTGGGAACTCGAGGAGTGTGAATTGTTAAAGTCGCAAGGCCAGTTAATCAGAGGTTGAACGAGGTGCCGGATAAACTGGGAGACTAAGGTATGTGGGGTTGTCCATGGTGAGTCACTACCATGCATCGACGAACGCGGTACGCGGTTCATAAGACCGACGAAAAAGGCTCAGTTCGAATAAATTGAGATGATGTGGCAGAGTTACAACGATAGCTTGACAGTGCTGGAGATAACCGCACAACCTCATTCCAGCAAACTCTAACCTACTAACTCTAGTAACTATTAACGGGAACCAACCGCACCCCTGGCGCACAAACAAGAACTAGTTGAGAACGCGAACGGCCCTAAATCACGTGTTGAGGTACGTACATGGGCAGCGCGTCTGAGTGTTACGGTGTTTCTGTATAAAAATGAAATGTTGTTTGAAAAAATAGAGAATTTGCGCATCGCTCCTACACTGTATATAGTACTTTTATTGAAATTCTATGCGACGTTGCGAATTCTATGTACCGTCGATATTTTTTTTTATCGGGGTGACAGATAAACGCAATGCAGTCGAAAACAGTCAGCTTAAAAATTTGGAATTTTTAAAGCTTGAAGTTTGAAAAAATCATCTATAAAGATAAGTTTATCACTTCCGTAGTTAATACCCTAGCGACTGCGTTTCGCACATTTCCCTTCTTCTAACCCGTCCATTTAATGGAAATCAGTCTGCTGGTATGCTTAACTTGCGTGTCCTAATATCGCTGTATAATATACCATGTACAACTGTTTTTACTAACCAACATCTCTATTAAAAAACACGATAAGGATTCTTAAGGTGCCTAGAATGTAATCTATATTTTAGATCGTAATCGTAAAAATCGGCCCATTGGTTTTTATATGAGTACATTTTTTAAATTTGCACCACATAGCTTCAATTATGCTAAGCGGCGGTGGAAAAAAGTTACCAAGTAAGGTACAGTGCCACAGCTGTAGGCAATACGCTCCGTGTTGGTGATAGTTGGCCTGACTTCTTTTCGCTGTGAATAGACGGTGGCCGTCTCCTTACGTTTTAGCAATATCTGATAACTAATATAATATAAACTGTAGCTTTCTATTATCGTGAGTGTTCTTAATATTGCAAGTAAAATTTATCTAGAGGCCTAACTTTAGAACGCGCAAATACTTCTTTCTCACAACTATTTTTATATATTTAAGGGCAATATTTACACGAATTGCCATTGTCATGTTGGACTTTCGGCGCGTATATGGCAAAGGACTGGCGTTAGAAACGTCAGTCCTTTGCCATATAGAGTCGAGAAGTGTCTCAGTCAGTAGTCAAAATGTTCTAAAAACCTCTAAAAATCTTCGATTTGTTCGACGCCAACCATTTTACGATATTGAATCAAAAAGCTGGTTCTTGTTGAGCGGGCGATGACAACGTGAAGTAACAAAACTTCTTCGTATACCCTTGCATGAATATACTAGCGCTTTAATTCTGCGGGACATATAACGACACCTACGTAAACTAGAGAATATAACAGGATCACTTTTTGCAAACAATAACACTTTTCAAAGCTCTATTTTAAGCGTCGCCATTATGCTAAATATGTCCATTTTAAGCTTCTTTTTTACCAAATTGATACGTTTGCCCCAGGTATATCATATATTTATAGATCATGCTTGAACAGCAGAAACTAGGCAAAAGGGCAGTTCTCCTGCTTCTTCATGTAAAAAGTGTAGACCATACCAGACTGTTATTTGCGCTTTAGTAAAGCTTTTCGTGAATATCGATCGTAAATGAAAGCGTGAATAAAATATAACGTTACAATAATTGAGGAAACACCTTTGCAGCGGGCCCGCCTTTGACTAGCTGAAACGCAGGCGTCTATTGCTATACCAGTAGAAAGCTTGTTTATTCTCAAGTGGCGTCGATATCTTAAATTCTTCCGTTTTATAATCTTGCTGGCATAGTATCGTTGTGTTGATAATAGGTGAATGCTTCGTTTACAAACTGGGCATAGTTACTGGCTAAGTTCACATCACTGATAAACTTCTCGCAAGGCTTTTGCGGCTTTATGTCCTCCAGAACCTATAGACCAATGCCCCTATTCTACGCCTAACCAACCGATTGGTTTATCTAGCCTAGGTCGCAACGTGCTTAGCCACCAATAATGTTCGATATTTTTAAACTCGCATACATTATATTCTCGTCAGCATTGTGGAACGGTACATTATTTACAGAATATGGCCATGCTTAGTAATCACAATTGTAATGATATTGACTGCAATTCTAAGTCGTGACGATATACAGTATAATACTGTAAATAACTAGGAAACGTAGTCCAATTTGATAACTAATCGATATTGGCCAACGGTCCGTACATAACAGCACCAAAAAGGGACAGAGCTGTAAATTACTTACACCAAAATAGAAACCAATCGAGTGTATTAACTTTTTTAGCTTTGGGAGAAGTGCTTCATCAGTGAGCCCTGCTCTCATGAATATACCGTGTATCTTCCGTTAGATCTCTATGTTACCAATTTGTGATTCAGTGATTTGTCGTCCGAAGCTAACTTGAGTTAAAAGATTAAACCTAATCCATACCAATAAGTATTAGAAGCACGCAACGCTGTCTAGGTACAGCTGCATTTTGGGGCCTAGTCTGATGTTTGTTTTCGGCCTGAAATGAAGAAGCATGGAAGTAAGAGCAGTCGGGGAAATCGGTAAAATAATGATCAAAGTCATGGATTGGAAATATCGATCTCTCGCTACCCAACAATAGTGCGGCGCACCCTCAACCATTTTCCCTTTTCTCCATATACAAAAGGGAAAGAACAACTACTTTTTGCGGCTAGATACGGTGGCGTTTTTCTATTCATTTTGCGGTTTATGGACTTCACAAAAATAGAGGGTAAAAATTGATTATTGTTTCGTCAAGCTTTTCTCAGATTCCCCCGGTGCTTCAAGCCCATGTAGCACAACCTATCTACTGTACGAATGTAATGTATGTGTGTGGCGAGATTTATCATTGACATGCTTGCGATACAGCCGGCAATCTGTGCGTAAAGCACACTTGTGCAATGTAATCGAACAATTGTTCCGCATGTTACACTAATCACCCAAGATCATTAATTGGTTACCTGTTTTACATAATGGAATGTGACCTTCAAGTGACGGACCCACTGGAAAACAGCTCCTTACAAGCTGCCACGGCCCAGCGGATCCATCCTCACGAATCAGCTTGGTTCAAAGTCGAATTATTTAGGTAACAGTCTTCAAAAATCAAGGAAATCTTCAAGATTTACTTTTAAAAAAGTTTTGTATATTGTTTTCAGCAAAAGCAATCGTAACGTGTGAGGTGTGCCAAGCAAGGCAAATTTGATTAATGATTTTATATAAATGATTAATTTATATAAATAATCGAACCCGGGCGTTGTGAACGCATACCCACACACGATCGTTATACGGTTTCAGCTATAAAAGGTATGTCACATTCAAATTAGTAGTTAACGATAGGATTATTTTTGCTCACGATTTTCACGTTTCCATGAAACCATCAGCACCAATAAGCTTTATAAAAAGTGAGTGGCTCCTGCTCTACTACTTGAGAAAATGTAGGAGTTTGCAGAAGTCCATGAAGGGCGGCTTTTTACAGGCGTCATTTTGCTCGTAATATGTACTTCGCTGATCTTAAAAATAAACCAGTATTAGTGGCAATTAGCACAATCGACAGCCATGACATTCACCTAATCAGAATTAATCCTTTCATTGAATCCCAGTCAGTAAGTGGTTAGTACATATTTTGCTTTCATATACAAACTGTCCTCTAGGTAAGGCGCCACAAAAACTTGATTTCAGTGACCGTCATGTCGGTGGAATATATCAACTGCTAGAGACCGGCAGTAACACAGTGGACACACGGCACTCACAATATTGTCTGGAGACGAAGCTATATTTACATACATTCATAGTCCTAAAATAGCCTTAAAAAACCGTAGCAGGGCCATATCTATGCAAATCTTAGGTTATTAAAATTAATGTATACTTTTCGGCTACACAAAGTGAACGCCACCTCATATACATCCTGTGATAAATTGAGTACGTACGTTCATAATAAGTTGTCCTTCTGTAATGTAGAACTAGTTATTTTACAGAAGAACAGGTTTGATTTCTGTACGTTAGCCTGATAAATAACAGCATCACCTTCCATTGCCGCCGCTGTTATTTACCTCTTATAGACAATAAACGTAAGTTGAGCATTTCATGCGATACCAAGTGGATTCTCACAGTCACTATTATAATTAATTGCAGGTGCATTCCGTATGTGCATTCCGCACATACGGAATG